TTGTATAATTAACCTAAAAATTAAACCCAACGATGTTCTCAATAATATTCATATAATTAATCTAAATTTAATATAAAACGAACGTAAGAGCACCTAGAGATTAGGATTACATATACCAAACTTCATATCAATATAACCTATGACTCTCTAGGGATTAGAATTACTGGTCTCCGTTTTCGCTAACTTCTAAATGGAATAATTTGGGGCAGAGAACCCGGTTGATAATCAGAAAAATATAAAAAAATGAATATAATTAAAATAAACTTTTTGGAGTGAGAATAGAGAGTAGTAGAGGAGAAATGTTAAAGAGTGAATTTGTTTGGTTAGGCTAGACCTCTATTTATAGTTGAAGTTTTGGGCTTGAGTATGGATTTCGTGCAATTATTTCCTTATTCTTCATTGATGTATCTGGCTCAGATATTGGCTTCATACATTATTTTATTATTAATTTCTTATGACTCAGATTACAGCTAACTTATTTGCTAATTCAAGGCTGACTCATTATTGAGTCATCATATCTAATCAAATTACCAATCAACATTACCAATCAATCATTACCAATCAATCATTATCAATCAAACATTACCAATCAACATTAATACATAAATCATCAATTAATAAATCAATTAATCATAATTTATCATCTAATATCTTTATATATATATATATTAAGATTATTTTATTATTAATAATTTAGAGTATTACAAAGTATCAAAATCCATTTATATCGTACAAAATCATTTTATCAAAAGTAAGGTTTATATTATCATTTGTTATCTATAACCATCAAATATATATATATATATATATATATATATATATATATATATATTATTACTACTAATTTATTATTATTATTATTTTATTAATAAAAATATGGGGTATTACATTCTACCCTCCTTAAAAGAAGTTTCGTCCTCGAAACTTAAAAGTTTGAGTTCCTCAAATTAACTGAAAGGCATAAGGTTAAAGTTAATAAAAATATGAGGTATTACACAAACTTACCCAAGAAATAAGGCAAAGAATCATTCCTACCATCTTAACTAAAAAAACAAATGAGGATAAGCAATAGGGGTTGATAATGATATATACTTAATCATGTTTTTTTTAGCAAAAAAAAAAAAATTAAGGAAGAAAGGGGAAAACGTAAATCATTAAATTATTATTATTATTTATCTCCGTATGGTTCATTTAACTATTTAAAATAAGGTCAAATAAAATAAAAGCTAGTATTAAATGGTATAAGTAATTCGCCTTAAATTATGAGAGATATGCTAAATCCTCCTAAAAGATGATATAATAATTGTCATTATTATTCGTTGAAGATGAAATAATACTAAAAGGGAAACTTCTAAAAATATTAGATTCACGTGCCTTTTCATCTTTCTTTCCTCCGTAAATAATTTAGAAGATTATTAAACTAATTCTATAAGAGGATTTAATTTTAATACTCTATGTGTAATAGTGATCATTAACTTTTACTTAGTTGGCTAAAATTTCCTAATACCATCCTAACCAGTGTTATTAAACTTGGACCCGTAATTGATTCGGTTGGGATACTGAGCTAATAGGTCCCTGGTTTAACCAGTGAATCACTGATTTAATCACATGAATTAAATATATATAATAAAATATAATATATAAAATTGAAAGTACTTTAGCTAAAATTAGAGTTGATTTAGTGTTAAGTGCTATAAGTAATAATCTATATGGTCTAGGTTCAAATCTCATTTATGGTATTTTTAAAGTATTTTGTCCAAAATTTCACAAAATCGATGCAAATTTAACCCGGTTCAAGACCGGGTTTCATACCAAATCGAATACATGACATGTTCAATACCTAAACCAGACCGGTTATAACACGATCCTAACTCATAACTTAGTAACCGGTTTACGGGTCAACTGGCCGGATCGGTTTTAATTTTTATAACACTAATCCTGACTCATAACTTAGTCACCAAATATTAAAAAAAAGAAAGAAAAAAAAGAAGAAGTAAAAGTGTGAGCTACAAAATGGATATGTTCTCCTTTTTATTAAGGGAAAAACATTTCTCCTACAACAACCAGAAGAAACGTTTTCTAACGTCACTGACCCTTCAATATTTTTGTGCTTGGCTTTTTTGTAAAAAAAAAAATGAGTCCCACCATTTCTTTTCTTTGCAGGAAGTTTTATATTTTTCATGTTACATGAGAAATATAAATCTCTTTTATTAATAACACTCTCAAACCAAATCAATAATAAGAATGAGTTGCTGAGAAGAACGGAGCCAATATCTTCGTGGACAACGCTGTACTATATATATCCATTGCTCATCAACCCCTTAAGCATTTGTTGGAGCTAAAAACTTATACTTAAGCACAACATATGGCTAACTAAGTTGATGAGATTTTATTAAAAGATCCAGTATTTAAAAGAAATAATTAAAAAAAGAGTTTATGAGTGTCCTACAACAAAACTTTCCCTCTGTTTCCAACAGACACAGTTAACAGTGTGGCCCATATTTTAAACAAAAACAAAAAATGAAACACGTGTTTCTATAGCATAACATAAAAATCTTGCAACATTATACTTGTTTTTTCTAAAAAAAATAAAATTAAAAGCAAATTGTAGTTGATTAATAAGCATGCAAGTGATAGGAAGTTTTCTGGAGTAGATTAGGTGTTCATAAAACGTCAGAAAAATATTATATTGCATTTGAGCAAGCTGCTTACAAACTTCACTCATTTTACAATTCATTTCATAATTGACATTATTGAATCCGCCATCGACTCGATCGGAATATTAAATTAGTGGATTATTAATTAAATTGTATGACCCAAATAGATGTATATAATAAATATTTTAAATAATACAATTTAAACAACAACTAAATATAATCCAGTGATACATATTATCTAGGGGTGTTCGCGGTCTGGATTGGATCAGTTTTGGAAGTAAAAATTATCCGATCCAATCCCTTCGGTTTGATCATATATTCATTCATTCGGTTTGAATTTTTTTTAAATCCGATCCGATCCAATCCAATTTTTTTCGGTTTGGATTGGATCGGTTTTCGATTTTTTGAAAATCCTAAAATTTATTTCATTATTATTGTGGAAATAACATCTTTTGTATATATTGGCTTTGTAAAAAAAAATTGAAATACAAAAGCATTAGTAAACTATAATATAGTTTTTTTTTTGGCAATGAGATATGAAGCTCTACAAAGATAAATTTTTGTTGATGAGATGTGACTAGATTTTTTCTTGGGTTTAGTTGATGGGTTAATGGGTCTTTAGGTTTAGAAATTTTTAGGCTATGATTAGGGAAAGACCCAAGTAGGTAGAGGAAAATTAATATATTGGATCGGTTTTCATCAACCCATCCAAAAACCGATCCAATCCAATTAAAATTTGCGGTTTTTTTCCGGTTTTTGATTTTTCGATTTTCGGTTTATTCGGTTATCGGTTTTTCGGTTCGGTCATCGCGGTTTGAATCGGTTTGGATCGGTTGATGAACACCCCTAATATTATCAAACGAGTGAAGGTAGGCTAGTGGTAAGTGGTAGCGTCACTTACTCCCATGAGTTAGGCTCAATTCTCCGCTTTTTTTTCAAAAGTAAAATATCTAATTTTAAAAGTTTGGTTTACCAGAAAATTCAAAATAATTGGGATTTTTTAGGAGATTGAATGCAGTTACTAATTCAGGATAAAAAATTGGTACCCATTACTACTGGATTGATTTCATAAACAATTCAATACTTGAACCGAACTGATTGATGGGCTAGTTTTCAAGTCAAGTTTGACTGGTCCGATTTTATTAACATTGATTGACATTGTAGCTTTTTCAAGGTTGCAGGGGATCATACTGTTCAAATTGACCTATCACTTATGACTTTTAATCTCTAGATCCTTAGTCAATTATGATGGCAGAATTGTCAAATGTCAACAGCCAACGTTAGCCATTCACTTCTTACCTATTGGGTTAATGCTTACCCTTCTTCAGACAAGGGTTCCGTCTTACTGAGCTTTGAGACTATTTTTTATGTTCTTTTATTTAACTTTTTCGTTTTTAATGCATATAGAAGATTCAAAATTAGAGGTAAATTAGAGGCGACCATTTTTAACATGACATGTCAACAACACATCCTAAATACAAGATGGAATTTTTATGTTCATGTCAATCCCTATTCCTGTTTGAGTCGATCCACAATTGATTTGTTTAAATGAAACAATTACATATTTATTCTCACTTACACCACTTTTATTTATTAACTTGAATTTATTTAAATAATTTTTATTCAAAAAGTAAAATTAATGAATTATTTACACGCTGTCAACCCATATATTAAATAAGTCGTGTTAGTAGAATGTTCCACAAGAATAGTTATTCCTATTATGTACAAGGTATTCATATTTATGTGCGAATTGCACCCATGTTACAATCTCCTGATCTGCACCCATGTTTAAGTCTAAATGTTAGAATGACAGGACGTACAGTTGCATATTCATTACATCTGTTGTGTATTTTAAATAACAGTAATAGATAATTAAACTCACATTCATGTATGTTATCCTCCCATGTTCACCAAATATTGTAATTTGTGAATTTGTGACACTATAGTTTCTAAGAAATTTTAAACCATAATAATTAACAAAAAAATAGGATATTCTTAGTGCCAAATATTTCTACTACCAATCTACTACTACTTTTCAGCCGACAATCTCTAAAAAGTTTACGAAGAGAGAAAAAAAAAACTTTTAATATACTCCCGAGAGTACATAGTTATATTAGAGTGATAGTAGATTAATAGTAGGGAACATTTGATAGTAAGAATATCCTACTTCAATTAACAACGATTTTCACTTTTTTGTCAAAAAAACAAAAAAAAAACAAACAATAATAATTTAACTTTTGCAGGGGCAGAATTGTATCTTACAGTGGATATCAAAAAGTAAAATTAGTAGTAAGCTGTCAAAAACGTGAAATTTAAATTTCTTTACTAAATTTCTAACACCCATTATAAGATTAGAAAGAATAACGAAAAACAAAAGGAGAAAATCCAAAATAAAGGACATGACAATTGACAACAAAAAGCAAATGATGTTCAGCATCTTCCATACATTTTTGAAGAAGAATGCAGGTTTTACCACCCAACAAGCAATAGTTTCAAAAGAGCCATCCGAATGTATAGACCATATTTGGCTTGCCTGAAATAAGCAGCCCTTGGATCAGCATCAACATCCACTGTGATCTGCATGAAATCAAGACCAATTTTGTAAATCATGTAAACTCAATGCTTATGCTCCTAGAGGGTATCCTCACCACATTTGATATAGCATGCTTACTTCATCAAGTCTTGGAAGAGGATGCATAACCACTGCATGTCTCTGCATCACCTTGAGAATATCCTGATTCACAATATACTTGCCTCTAGCCTCTTCATAAAGGTCAATTTTGTCCCCAAATCTTTCTTTTTGAATGCGAGTTTGATAAACCACATCACACTCGGAGGCCACTTCCACTAAATCAGCACTTTCTTCCCAATCCACTCCCTTTGATGTCAAATAGTCTTTTATATCAGCCTATAAATGTAAATATCATTAGTGAGAGACCAAGGTTTTGCTTCCTAGATATACAAATGGAAAGGTTAAAAATGGCAATATATCTAGACTAATATGTGTCAGAATACTTTGTGATTTTTTTTCCCCTGTTCCTATTTCGACAGCTTCTTGGGAATGAAAATAGGAAGGTGGAAAGTGGAGAAATGGAATATGGATATGTGTTTGGAGATACATGATATTCAAACACATTGCCATTTTATCTCTCTTCATTTTCTATATACCAATTTTCATTCCCCATATGAAGCACACACCTCTCAAACATATTATCTGGTCATGATGAGTGAAAATCAGCTTTTTGACCCTTCTAATGCAAAAACACACATTTTACCGATTTAATTCTTTTGTCAAACTATTTACCAATCTAATGCGAGTGAAACGCGTATGGGGAGTGTGCGCGTTTAAGTCATTGATCACCTCCATGTGCAAATTGTGCAAAAATCAGCATAATGCAAGATGCACAGTGTGCGTACAAGGCACCCCATGCACATTTTGCAGAGCACGAGACGAGGCAGATGCGTTTTGGCTTTTGTACAAGTCTAGCATGGGGTGATGCGATACTTAAACGCTTACACTTCCCATGCATGTTTTATTCACATTAGATTGGTAAATAGTTTGCCAACAGAATTAATCCGGTAAAATGTTTGGATTCTGCATCAGAAGGGTCAAAAAGCCATAAAAATCAGAATGTTCAACAATTACCTTCATTTTAACCACATTTGGAGAGACAAAATAAATCTTCACATCCTTGTACTTAGCAAGCAAGTATGCCAATGAACGAACTGTCCTCCCATTAGCAAGGTCTCCCACAAGCCCAACTTTTATACCATCAAGCTTTCCAATCTCTCTATCGATGGTATACACATCTAAAAGTGCCTGAGTAGAGTTTAAAAAAGTAGCAAAGCTTTGAACTCAACTTATTATAGAAGGAGTACTTCAATTACTCAGTCTGTCACAAAATAATACAAGACCTTGAATGTGCATCTAGAAATATTTTCCAGCTTTACAAAGATAAAAATAAAATGCTAAAAAAAAATGAACACAGAATCTGTAGAAGTATAAACAAAAGGTACTTAAAACCATTGCAGGTGGTAAGTTCATAATAGGTACAAAGTTAAGATCCACTCAAGATATGAGTTCAAGCTGACATTTCAGTCCTCTATATAAAAAATAGGGCACATTACATTTAGACTCACCTCCCTTGAGATATCATACTAATACTATGACACTCCACCATATGTTTCTCTCAATATTACAGCCCACCCCAATTGACTAAGTTGACTACTAATTATGTTAATGGAAATATTCCCTTTATCCCTGAATTTAACAATGAATAACACAAACATCTGACTAAGTTAAAAAACAATGATAGGGAGATGATTAAATGCAATTGGAGGCAGCATGCATTGCAGACCCATTGTCATTGAATAGTTTACAAAAGAGATTGGAAGCAAAAAGCCAAGCGTCGCATAAACAAAAATCATGTTCTATCATTCAATTTTTTCATTTCATGGTATTTTATTTTGGTTTTCATCATGTTGATACCAAATTTTGGTTAGCCTTCTGTGATTACTTAAAGATGACCCCCAGGTAGAAAATGATGCAACTTTCATGTTTCTCTTACAACACATTGAAATTTGGTATATGTGGTTTTCAATTCTTGAGCAAGGTTGGAGAAGGCAGTTTTGGCCTTGTCTACCAGGTTATTTTCATTCCTCTCCTGCAGTGTACTGAGTTTATATGGCGTTGAAATATAATTTCAATTTGAATCTAAAAGCTTAATGCTTATGGAGACATGTGCTTTTGGATTTGTTCAAATTTTATGGAATAATCACTTTTTTCAAAAGTTTTCTCAATATGATTTTGATTATAAGCTATTTTGAACACAAAATAAATTAATCCAAACACACATGAAGACTAATTGTGGTTCACTTGTATGGGGGTTGATTCTAATGTGGCCATGAGAGTGCTTACAACTGAGCAGGAATCCATGTGGGTAGAGAAGGCTACATTCTCATATCAAGCACAAAAATCTAGTCACTCTTCAAGGGTATTCTCTGGAAGTAGCTCACAGATATTCTCTCTGCAGCAATATGGAGAAAAGAACAACAGTCTTCATCACACTTTCTTAGGTACATTGGGTATTTTAGGAATTTGAATCCAAATAAGTGAATGCATTAGAGGATAACAGAAGACCCAAGAACAATTTTGTTTGTTTTTGCCTTTTGGTTGATAAGTATATAGCAAAGCAAATAATTTTCCGTTTGCTTTTGGCTTTTGAGCCACTCCATGTTCTCTGTGTACATATCTCACTTATCAAACTGAACTTAAGTTTCATACCGGGTAATTAGTCATTTTTGAGAGTCAGTCAAAAAGTGTATAAATTGAAGAGGGTATTTTATCTTAAAATAGGATTGTGTATAAAGGTTATTTTCTACTTCCTATATTCCTTTTCAGTATGAATTCCAAAAGTAAAAACTAGAATTAGAACCTGAGATTCACACTCTATCTTCTAAGGTAACTCATTCAGAAAGAGCCAATCATACACCTCCAGTACCTATTCACCAACCTTTTATTTTAAACAAAAAAGAAAGGCATCCTTAATAGCTCTTTCAGGAAGTTACCAAAAAAAGTGATTGTTTCCCCAAAATAAACTAATCCACCATGGCATATCATGCATACCTGGGTTGGATGTTGTCCAGGACCATCCCCTGCATTGATTATTGGAATGCCAGCTATAGCTGCAGCTCTTCTGGCCGCACCACTTTCAAAGTGTCGCATCACAACTATATCAGAATAACCCTCAACTGTTCTTATTGTATCTGCAAGCAAACTACCAAGAGAACCTTCAGGGAAAAAATCCACAAAAAACTTGAAAAAGGAAGTCAAGGGAAGGAATTCACCTTCAAGTGTCTCTCCTTTAGCTGCAGATGAAAATTCTCTAGCATTTTCAGTTGTTAAAACCTCTCCACCTAGTCTTCTCATGGCAGACTCAAATGAAAGTCTAGTTCTAGTAGAGGGCTCATAAAATAGGGTAGCCATAAGATAACCCTTTAAAAGCTGGCTATCAGGAGAATTCTTTTCAACGTTCTCCATATCCCTTGCAACTTCAAAAATGGCTTTCAGAATATCTCTATCAAACTGTTGAGCTTCAATAACATCATCAAGTTGAAATTTCTGCCCAACTGAAAAGGAAGGTGCACGTTCAGTTTCCAAAGCACGGCAATGGATTCCATCTCTTTGCCGGATTTTTCTCATCTGTTCCCATTTTGATGACTTATTCATGCTTAAAATTCTTGAATTAGGACAGCATATTGATTTTAAATAACCAGGTTCCATATAGGGGATTTTGCTATCACAGCAGACAAAATCTCTAGGGCATTTTGATATCTTCAGAGCATGCACCTCCCTATGCATTGAGCAGGAGAAAAGAGAAGATGAAGCAGCCATTGCAGATAAAACTAACCCTAAACAAGCAAAAAATCATTAGTTGACTAAATAATTATTGTTTGCCAAACCAGTTATACCTCAATAGGCACAAAAATATCAATTAAAATCTTCAGGATAAACAATTTATAATATAAAAGTCTAGCAGAAGAGGAAAGATAACAAATCTCTGGAAAATAACCAACCAGCACAACATAATCAGAGAAAGGAAACTCTAAACTTCGATTTTTTTTATTTTTTTTTTGGTAGACCTAAACTTCGATTTTAAAATCTCAATAATCCAACATAACATATAAATAAATTAAAACTAATAATTAAAACGGCTAGAATGACAATGACTAAAGAGAAAGAAAGTTTTCAGAATGTAGGCACAGTAAAACTGTTGAGATATATATTCCCACATTGGTTGTATGAGCAACTAATGTGAAGTTTATAAGACCTTGGGCACTCTCACCCTTTGAGCTAGCTTTTAGGGTGGTGTATCCCAAGGTTCTTCACATGGTATCAGAGCCTCGCCGCCCCCACTTTCTCTTGTGGCGTTTCTTAGCACAGGTAGGCTGGGCCTGTTGCATTGTCCACTCTTCAAGCCCAATGGGCTCTCGTGTGAGGGGGCGTGTTGAGATATATAGTCTCACATTGGTTGTATGAGCAACTAATGTGAAGTTTATAAGACCTTGGGCACTCTCACCCTTTGAGCTAGCTTTTGGGGTGGTGTATCCCAAGGTTCTTTACATGTTGAGATATATAGTCCCACATTGGTTGTATGAGCAACTAATGTGAAGTTTATAAGACCTTGGGCACTCTCACCCTTTGAGCTAGCGTTTGGGGTGGTGTATCCCAAGGTTCTTTACATGGTATCAGAGCGTTTGAAATCTCACCGCTCCCACTTTCTTTGTAGTGGAATTTCCGCATGTAGGTGGGCTTGTATGTTGTCCACCCTTCAAGCCCAGTGAGCTCTCGTGTGAGGGGCGTGTTGAGAAATATAGTCCTACATTGGTTGTATGGGCAACTAATGTGAGGTTTATAATGCCTTGGGCACTCCCACCCTTTGAGCTAGCTTTTGGGGTAGTGTATCCCAAGGTTCTTCACAAAAACAACAAAGCATTAAGGTAAAGGATTTATGTAAAATACATATGTAAAGCATTGGAGCAATAAAAAACTAAAAGAAAGAAAGATAAATCAACAAGCAACTCTCCAATCCACATATTATATGGAGAGACCCCTCCAAAAAAGTCATTAGCTAAGCACTATAATAAAGCAACAAGTAAAATATCATATAAAATTGGCACTGCAGCATAGATTTTTATCTTTGAAACTTCTGGTATTTCTTTCCCATCATAAGCACCCAAAGGAACATGATCATAATTACCTCTAATTCTAAAACAACAACTTGAAAAAGGGTATTCGAATATATTATAGAATTGTAAATAATGTGTACAAAGGGTTCTCTATTTATAGAGAATATTTGACCTACTTTTAACCTAATGGGCTTGGCCCAATACAACAAAGGGCTTGGCCCAATACAACAATAAATGACTAAATAATAACTAAATCAATATTATTTACAACACTCCCCCTCAAGCTGGGAATAGATATTTATCATTCCCAGCTTGCTAGTAAGTTCTTGAAATCTGTCTGAAGGAAGCCCCTTTGTTAATAGATCAGCTAATTGACGCCCAGTGGGAATGTATGGAGTGGTAATCAACCCGCTATCAAGTTTCTCTTTGATGAAATGGCGGTCGACCTCAATATGTTTAGTCCGATCATGTTGAACTGGATTATGAGCTATACAAATAGCGGACTTATTATCACATAGCAGCTTCATAGGTCCCTCACATTTTATTTTGAGATCATCAAGTACAATTTTCAGCCACAGTAACTCACAAATGCCTTGAGCCATAGCTCGAAATTCAGCTTCTGCACTTGATCTGGCAACCACATCTTGTTTCTTACTTCTCCATGTCACCAAGTTACCGCAAAGAAACATGCAATAACCAGTGGTAGAACGACGGTCAGTCACGGATCCAGCATAATCAGCATCTGTGTAGACTTCTAAAGATAGATTGCCATCACGTCGGAATAACAATCCTTTACCAGGAGTACCTTTAAGATACTGAAGAATTCTCTCTACTGCCTGCATGTGTTTTTCTTTTGGATCGTGCATAAACTGACTGACAACACTAACAGCATAAGCTAGGTCTGGTCTAGTATGGGCCAGATATATCAATTTCTCAACTAGCCGTTGATATTGTCCTTTATCAACTGGAGGACTCTCTTCTTCATAGCCCATCTTGTGATTCTGCTCAATAGGAGTATTAGAGGGTTTACACCCGAGCTTTCCTGCTTCTTTGAGAAGATCAAGAACATATTTCCTCTGGCTGATAAAAATTCCTTTGCTTGAATGAGCTACTTCTATCCCTAGGAAATATCTCAGTTTCCCAAGGTCTTTGATTTCAAACTCAGAGGCAAGCCGTGTTTGCAGAATCTGTCTCTCCACAAAATCATCACCTGTGATAATAATATCATCAACATATACAAGGAGCACAGTAAGCTTCCCATTTTGGGAGTGCTTGAAGAAAAGAGTGTGATCTCCTTGGCTCTGTCTGTATCCTAAGGTCATCATAACCTTAGTAAATCTTCCAAACCAAGCACGAGGTGACTGCTTCAATCCATACAAGGCCTTTTTTAATCTACAAACTTTATTTTCCCCCTTCACAGAATCAAAATCAGGCGGGATTTCCATGTAGAGTTCTTCTTCTAACTCACCATAGATGGTGGGATGAAATGTAATCGTGATTGGAAGGATCACAGATGACAAACAAGAGAGATATTAGTTTACAAAACAATAATATTTGAAATGAGACCGAGAAAGGGCAAAATATAGGGTTTCTGCCGACATTTAATCGATTAAATATTGTTCCTTAATCGATTAAATGTCCCAAAATTTAATCGATTAAATTTCGGTCATCACTTTTCCTGCATTTTGACCATTTAGTCGATTAAAAATTCATCTTAATCGATTAAAGGGGGGCAGGATGGTGGATAGTTCTGGGGGAGGGGCAAATTGATTATTAATTAATTAATTAATGAGGGGCAAAAAGGTCAAAAAATCTGTCTCGTAGAGTTGAACATATATGCATGTACCAATTCACATATATGCTCATCCACTCATCCACCACTAGGGATATAAAATTGATAATCCACAAAATTGAAGGTCGAATATACTTTTGCCCAACCCACTTAGTTGGATGGGTTAATCCACAACTTTTTAAAAAATGTTAAAATCAATTATAAGAAGGGATTAATATTTCTCGAGGAAGGTTGTATTTACAATCATATCTTAATAATTGATTTCTGTTAATTAACTGTTATCATTTATTACGAATTAATAATTAATTAATGAGTTTGATTTGAGAAAATAATAACCATTGACTGGCGAAAATCAACGGTTAAGACATGGTTGTAAAATGTTATAAATGAAAATAGGTTTTAAGTACAACCTTCATCAATATTTCTCATATTGTAGGAAATGAATTTTATCTCCTACACATACATAAAAGTATGTGTGACTCACATTATTTTTTCTCTCTCTTTTACTCACATAGCCTCACATGGGTCTCATACACTTTTTTTTGTATGTAAAAGATAATTTTATTTCTATCAACGTAAAAAAACATTAATCCCTTATAAGAATTGTTAATGATGGTTTAGTTTATCTGTTTTCAGTTTTCATATTCTAAAAATGAACATATAAGTACAAATGTATTTGGTTTGTCATAATGAATTTTTTTAAAAATGTATTTCTTAAATGGGTTTGATTAATCTCATGTTAAAAGAGATAAGTTATCTCATGTCACAGAGATAAATTTGTGAGCTCCACCATCTGAAAAATAAAAAGAAAAGAAAAGAAAAAAGTGGCACAGTTATCGAAGGGTGTGTAGGAGAGAAAGTTATCACATGTAATAAGAGTAGTTTTTTCCTTCTTAAATTATTGAAGCAATCTGAAAACATAAAAAAATTGTTTTCACTTGTTTTCTTCACATAAATGCCAAAACTGAAAGCATACTTTTGAGAACACGGTGGCATAATTGTAAGTAAAATGAAATGTCTTGTTTTTTAAAATCTTCTCTCGCACTACTTCAACTTTTCTCTAAAATGTGTCTTCTTTTGCTGCCATGGACGTATCTAATTCGTTCCTTAGATTGTATAATTGATACTTTTATTCATGAATATATCTCTAGAGGACATGAGGTTCTAAAATTTTGGGACAATATGTCAAACGCTTTTTTTTTTTTTTTTTTTAAGTTTGCTAAGTGGCTATTGCATTAAGGTAATAAGGTGGACACTTCTGCCATATATGCTCTTTGGGTGCGATAATTTGTATTGTGCCATGTCTTTGTTTGCTAACTATCATTTAATAATTTGCCTAATATTTATTATGTTAAAGAAAATAAAGAGTTATTATAGACAAATAGAGGAATATGGTATTTTTGGTAAAAATTTATGGTAGCGCATAGAGTTTGTTTTATGGTTGCAACTACAGTTAAAAAAAATGCCTTCCTATATGCTTATCTTGTTTTGATATGTGTTGGTTATACTAACAATAAATATGTACAATGTTGCTTCAACGTATAAACTGTTTAGGTAATCGAGGTGAATCTTTTTCCCTCGATAAGGTATAGTATATCAATGTTATAGCGATTTATGAGCAAATATATAGACCTAAGTTTGATGGAGAGTCCGTGTGAATAGTGTCTTAGACGAAAGCTAAGAATCAAGGGGAATTATTGGGCTCGATGGCTTTAGGTGAAGAGAATTTAGCATCGTAACAACTAAAATATGTCTTCTCTGTTCTGTTTGAAAGATAGAGATGTTCAGCCGGTGGCTGATATATTTTATGTAGGATCTATTTGTCCTTTCTTAGGTATCTATGAATGAGATATCTTTGATGGTAGGCAGATCACTGTGCACAATAATAATCGACATAGTCAAGACGTGAGGGGTGTGCACTGTGACAAGCTAAGAGAGAGGGTCTAGAGTGTGTACCTTATTGATTTAACCCCTTATTTATAGATGGGTTACCTCAAGGAGTGTATTTTTGGGCCTCTTAGGAATATTGAGGCCCATGTCCAACTGCTTAGCTGTCTGAATAGGATTGTCATTAATAAGAGATTCCCTTTCTTTTGTGCTATCTTTTATTGGTCCTTCTAGAA